TGTAATTATATAGGAGAACGTAGTACGGAATTATAATATTTGTAAAGTTTCCTTGAAGAAAATCATCATTATGCGTAATGTAAAATTTATCATGAGGTTGAATATAAGTACACAGCTTATACCCTGTATAGTAATTACACATAAAGGATAGATGACACTGGGGGAATAAGGATTGGTGAAGGTTGAATATTTTACTGGACAAAGGTTTCCTGGTATACAGTATTACCGTAAAATCTAGGGTAATTTTCACACCTATGTAAGTTATGCAGGTAAAATTTCGAGTTGAAAATTCTAAAAAAAATATGCTTAGCTGCTTGGTTCCTCGGCATGATTTCACTCTCAGAACAGCTGTCCACAGGTTCCCAAAGGTAACCTAAATCTTTTAAACACTAGTGTAAGGCAACATGAGATCTACATCTTTTTGTACATAAAGTCTATGTAATGCTATAGTGTATAAGGCAGTCTGAGGTCAGTGTTCTGAGGTCAGTGTTATTTCTAAAGTAAAATCTCTGCTCCATTATGTGTAATGTTAGTCAATTTGAAGTCTCAAATTGCATATTGTAAGGCAATCAAAGGTATAAATTGTCTGATAGTTTCTATGTGTGGACTTAACACCTTACCATGACAATCTCATTAATGCACATTTGTCCTTTTTTCGTCTCTGGAGAAAGTTGACAATTCTTACCAATCATTAATTGAATGCAGTATGTGTGTTTGTGTGAAAACATTAAAATATTTCAGCTTGAAGTAAAGGTCTTTGTTCTGTCATCATGGAGGACAGCAATGAAAACATCGACTCTTATCTAAATTACATTATATATAATTAATTCTGATCAAACGTCAATTATTAGGCTGAATTCATTTCATAATTAAGTTTGGAAAGTATCAAATATTTTTTTGGTACCACAAGCCCCAATTTTCTCATAAATATTGATTTGTACCAAGAGCCTCGATTTTCCTTTATTCCTTTTTTTGGTTTGTTTCCGTTATTAATCCAATTTTCCTGTTTGTCTCTAGTACAAATAGATTTAATGTTTTTATGTAAGATTACTGGTTGTCCTGTTTACAAAACATATCAATCCGGTTTAGATGAGGATTTTATGGTTGTTGGAGATAAAGGTGCTAGGTACTGTGACTCACAGGATAATACATCGTTATGATCTACATAAGTTGACAGTGCTCGTGTTCCTACATCCTGATTGGACATGAACTCAGGGCACTTTATATAAAATATGCTAAATATTCCAGGTTTTTTTGGTATTGGTGAATTGAATTTTTTTTTTTTTTGGTTGTAATTAAATAAAAATATACTTAAATAATTAATTTTGATATCCACCAGTAAATTAACTTTCCCCAGATACATGTGTTATTATTGTAATAATTACTTTGTCTCTTCATTTTTTAAATTTTCATGTTTCTTGCCTGTATTTGAATGCATTATTTATGATTTTTTTATTTCAAAATTATTTGACAATATTCCTGGGTAATATGTGAAAGTACTGTCACCCAATTAATTACAACCCTGTCACCCAATTAATTACAACCAATCACTGAAGGTCAATAATCAGTCAAAATAGTTTGTTTTATTTCTGTGACATGAAATAATAAATTAGCCTGCTTTGGATCCGTTAAGCTGTCAGATGATCTTTGCTGTTGATGAATTTTGGCTGGGATAGGGAACTGGAAGGTCATAAGAGCACTTGACAGGACGACCACTTACGCTGGCAAAGTTCCGGTTTCAGATTGTTTACTCAGCGGATCTTAGATGACCCAAGTCCATGTACAGTATTTCAGCTTATCTTCAAAATTACTGGAGCTTATACACTAAATCTGGGCCCTCCTAGTACACAGTCTCCAGCCTACCTGGTAATACACTGTGCACACCTGTATACCTGGTCTACTGTCTGGCCTACTTTACCCGGCTATGTTTAGCTATTTCACGCTGATGTAATGGTAATTACCAGTGGTGGTTCGTATGGAGATTCCAGTTTTCGGTTTGTCAGATGTTTTATCTGTCCAGTGTGTGTGTGGGCAGACAATGACAGATATAATCAACTACTTCCACCACCTACGTTTCTGGGATGTCCGGCAGGTCTTTTTATAAATCCTGGTCATATTAGGGAATGCAGTACATCACCACCTGTTTATTGTTAAATTTAATAAAAGTAGCACATTTGAAGTAGATGTTGCAATGTTTTCCTAGATTCATAAAAAACAAAATGTTCTTGTTAATATTACCCAGTAATTACTAATATATTTAAAATTCCATTCAGGGTTTAAGATAAAACCTAGCACCAAGGTACATTATAACATATAATTGCAACAACTAAATCTATCTCCCGACCCAAATCTTTGATCAGTATGTTTTGCCCCTTTCACAAAAGCAAACCCTTGTAAATGACTTCAGTCCTGTCTTGAAATAAAGCAGTGAAATTATCACAGGTTTTTACAAAAAATCATCATTTATGCTATTTCTCCATTTTAATTTTTCAAAATGAAAATCACCCATGATTTTCAAATTTGTTTTACAGGTTTTTAATGACTTATAGTGCTTAACATGTTAACTTACACTCCCCATCATTTTGAAAAATAACCTGTCTGATGAATTTTTGCTCATATGCCAAGTTAACTTGGAATTACATTCATTAAAAGGTGACATTGCCTTGAATCACCCTAAGGAATATCCCGTCATCCAAGCTAGACATGACGAGAACGAGTGATCCTGGCAACTACCACGCTTTGTTTATCATAATGTTTGTTTTATTTATATTGGCCATCAAACTAACCAGTTCATCCCACTTAGATTATGATCATCTTTCTAATTCAGTTAACAGGGATACGCAGCCAAACCTAAAATTGCCACCAATAACTGACAAAAACTAATTAAACAAACTCATTTGGTTAACAGGGATTAGCAGCCAAACCTAAAATTGCCACCAATAACTGACAAAAACTATAAACAATCTCATTTAGTTAACAGGGATTAGCAGCCAAACCTAAAATTGCCATCAATAACTGACAAAAACTAATTAAACAATCTCATTTGGTTAACAGGGATTAGCAGCCAAACCTAAAATTGCCACCGATAACTGACAAAAAGTAATTAAATAATAAATAAAGGACTGTATCATCCTGATAATCATGTACTATTGAAACTTCCGGGCCCGTATTCATGAAACCGTTCTCATGCTCAAGCATGGATTTTGTGCTCAAGCTAAATATCTTATTTTGGCTATAAATTAATAGGAAAATCCTATATTGTCAACGATTTGGGAAAACATTGAAGAGACTTAGAGCAGGAAATTGTTTTCATTGTTTATAATTGACTTTTTGATTGTTTGACATGATTTAAGCGATTTACATGAAATTTGGTTTGAGCACAGAATCCATGCTTGAGCACGAGAATGGTTACATGAATATGGGCCCAGTACATGCTAAAAGAAAGACAAAATGTGATTTATAAAACGAAGAATGGCAGGTAAAGCAGGTAAAGCAGGTGGTATGTGCATCTGTGTTTGCTTACTCTTACACTGTCAACAATTGATATGCTACACTTTCTCCCTTTGTTTAGATGTTGTTTAGATTGATTGTTCAGAGTTAGATTTTAATATGATAGTAGGAGTTGGAAACATTTACCTCAGCCAACCAGATTACAGGATTCTTTTGTTAGGTGTAATACATTTTTTTTGGTGTGTGGCAGTGAAAAATAGCAAAATGCATTTCTCAAAGGCATAATTTTCACAATTAACAGTGAAGAGTTTCATGTGAGGATTTATAAGATACCTTACAAATGTGTTTGTTCAGTAAAACTGTTTTACATTATGTTCAATTGCTGCATTGGATAAGAATGGCTGAAAATATTTTTGAAATAATACTTGGGTAGGTCCTTCTGTAATTATTAATGGCAACTGGAGGAGATGGTGTGGGGGACATATCATAAGTTTTATCTGTGTCAGTTGTTTCGTCAAAGTTTATACAAAGGTTAGTATGCTAAAACCTGTGATGAGTTTTTACTTCAGGGTCCCAAGGTCAACACACCAAGGTCACAATGCAGGGGGGGGGATTTGAAAACTTTTTGAAATTTCCATGAGGGAGATTACACATGCTCAGAATCCTTAAAGCATAAATAACATAAATTGTGTGTATGTAAATCCAGGGGGAAAAATGCTTTTAAATGGTATCTTTTGAGCTGTTCTTTTAAATGAAATCATAAGATCTCAGAAAATAGGAATAGTTTAGGGAGAGGAAGCAAGTACATTATTTCTAATTATGAATTTTGGGAAGCTTAAATCATTCAAACAGTCAGTAATCTTGGTATCACTGCCATACGTCCAATTCCCTATGATTAAAGTTGAAACACGATAATCCACTAACCACTGTATACAAAATATAAAGCGTTTTATAATGGTTTTGTTGTCAAGGATAAACAGACAATATGACAAGCATGGCCTATGTTGTTAGGGGATTACTTCGTGACTGGAAGTAGACTGATTGTGTGTTGTAATTTGAAACTTTTCTATTGTATCATACCGGGGAAATGTTTGCGGTTAAAACAGGAAGATATGTTTTATTCAAGAGTAAGAAGGTCAATCACTCAGTGCTTATAAACCATTTTGATGTATTGTGTAATTTCAGATACAATTGTGAAGTATCAAAAATAACGGAAATATAGTATGCCCCAAAGAAAAAGTATTTGAATAAAAGTAAATAGTATTAAACATTTCTGTCTTGATTAAAAAGATGGTCAGCCCCGAACAAAATATTTAACTGTACATGAATAAAGAAGGAGAAATGAAATCTCAATATTTTTTATCTAATTTATCTTTGAACCTCAATAATATAGTCACCTCACTGTTCAGTGGGGACTTGATAATCCAGCCATTTTAACAGCAAATTGTTATAAGATATTGTCTATAATAAACACTGTTATTAGATATTGTCTATAATAAACACTGTTATTAGATATTGTCTATAATAAATATATGTGTTTCCTTTATCAGTTCCCTACAGATATTCCAGCGAGAGTCGCACCCTTCCGCGTACAAGGCAGGATCACGCAGCGCCAAGGAAGGCCTCAGTCTTTTTGGTAAGATAATCCTGAGAACCTCTCTATAGCCACCAAATTTAATATCTTGCAACTCAGTCATATTTAATCCTATCATGAGAATGCTATGTACAGGTAAGATCTAACAAAATCATACCATAGTTGGCATTTAATTGTGTACAGAAAAGGTATGATTTGGTCTTATAAACAACCAGCCAAGAGTAACCATTCACATTTTTGTTCTTCCTGAAAGGTTGAAATGTTCTTAAAATATTGTGACTGATAAGAAATGTTGATGTGTAAACATGTTCGTGGACGACCTGTTACATGTATTATCTTCCTGTAAAGGTCATCTTTTTAGCAGGGTTTCTAATTTTCGCAAATTTCATGGAAATATTTTATATGGAAAATGCAACCCATGAAATTAGAAGCAATTTAATCCATCATTGATATAGCACTACGTGCCATGATCGTGAAACCCGACAATTACAAAATACATGTCTCAACAAATTGACCATCTTGGCAAATCAACGAAAAATCAGGGACCGCAAAAAAATAAACCTTTTACAGTATTGGTGCTACTATATGTTAATTACCATTCCCACAGCGAATAAAACAAAAGAGCAGGATATGTTTGTTTGTAATTAAAATTCATTATGCCATTTAAAGTGTATTTGTCTATATATTTTACATTCATAGAATATATAACTGACTACATTTATGGTTATCGTATATCAAATCTGGATTGTGGTTTTATATGATCAAAATAACGTGGGCAGAAGACGGTGGTTGTGTGGGAGGGGGTGGAGCTCTACTTAAGGCTAATACAAGCTGTTATCACTGCAGTGTTTCAATACACATGTATATCAGAATGCAGATGTTAAGTTTTATATAAAAATAAGTTCTATATAGTGAGGATATAAATTTCTGATGAAATTTTTACCTGGATAACAATATTGCATATTATACACATCTGCTGTTTTTATGGTTGTAGGCATTCTGAATCGCTGTCGGTCCCAAGTAGGCAGTAGAAAGCTTAGGTAAGAGTTCACTGGCCATTTATTTGTCATTATCTGTCTCGAAAAGAAACTAACTTGAGATAGGAAGTCACAGGTAGTTAGTTGCCATGTGAATGTATCTGTGTCTTGTTGTGGAGGGACTGTGTCCCATCAATTCATATTTTCAGTGTTTTTAGGCATCGACCATAGAGCTACAGTAACCAGCCTTTAAAATCTGGTCAGTCAGCAACCAGGGATGAGGTTGCAAAACAGAACCTGATGTCCCAACTTTTCCACCACACAAATTGAGGTATGACACACCGTTGTATATCATTGGACAGCTTTTTGCATGTTAGCCTAGGTGCATACCTTCAAAAGTTCACGTAGAACAGTTGCTGTCACTTAAATTCTTAAATTAATTCAGGGCATACGAAATTACAACCACCGATTGATGATGTGAATTAATCAGCCCAGAAAACACAATGGTGGATTATATACATGTATCAATATGTGCAGTGGATAAGTTCAGATATCAGGTCTTGTTTCACGACCTAGTCCTAGGTTACTGAATCTCAAGTTTTCACTAGGCTGGACGATGATATGAAATAAAGAAAATATCAGTTATCAGACAATCAGCTATGCTTCCTGCTGCGTTGTCTTACATGAATGTATGCTGATAAGACAAGTGAGCATATAAAAATGTCAGTAACTGGTGCCAGCAGTCATTGCACCACCCTGTTTTTCCAGTTGACCAGGGGAATTCACGTGTGTTTGTATGGGCTGGCTGGGTTTAACTCATTCACCCCTACATTTTTAAGCTGGACTTGCCCAGTCATCTTGATTTAATAAGGTTCAATTGTGACTTCAGGGGTGAATGGGTTTATATCCTTGCAGCATCTAAGGTCATATAAGGACAGGTACCTAAAGAGAAAGAGAAGAAAAGGGAAGAAAAAGAAGGAGAGAAAAGAAAAGATTCCTGGTGGTGTAATGGATCAATTTTGTTTCTATAGTGTCTGAAGCAGAGGACACAGAAGAAAAAACTTGATTTTGCCAGTGGTCCCACATTAGTCGTCTATTATGAAATGGCGTAGGATACAGAAGGCCTATGGTAACCCCTACACAGATGTACATACACAAGCTTCCTAATGTCTCAGAACTACATTTAATCTACTAGATCAGTATGCAAAATACTCGGGTTTAATGCCTAATATTGCCAGGACGAAATGTATATGGATTGGCAGCAAATCTCGTAGTAAAGACGGAATAAGCACAGAGAAGAAACTTGTTTGGTCAGAAGAACCCTTCGTGTTTTTAGGTATCAAAATGAGCGTAGATCTAGACCAAATAACCGACCTAAACTATGAAAGTAAAATCAAAGAAATGAAGGCTCTATTACATGTATGGTCTAAAAGATTAATTAGTACAATGGGTAAAATAACAGTGATAAAAAGCATAGTTATGCCAAAAATTATTTATTTATTTACAAGTATACCAAAACCTAATTTACAAGTGATAAAACAGATTGAACAAATGTTCTTCAGTTTTATATGGAATAATAAAAATGATCGGGTATCTAGGAACCAAATATCAAAGTCCTGTGAAGAGGGCGGATTAAAAATGTTCAATATAGAATACTTCATCAAGTCGATGAAACTGACTTGGATACAAAGACTTTTCAAGTCAAATGACTCATGGACCTTAATTTTTTGAAGAGGTAATAGGTGATAGCAAGAATGTGATTGTCAATGGAGGTAAGGAATTTCTAAAGAAGAAAGCGCATAGTATTAAAAACCTATTCTGGAAAGAAGTTCTAGAAGATCTATATTTTATTTCTGGTGTTGTCGGAGAAGAGGAATTTATTTATCAACATTTATGGTTCAATAATAAAATAAAAATAGATAATAGAACTGTCTATTTTAAACAGTGGGAAAAAATGGGCATAAGTTTTGTCTATGATATATTGAATGACCGAGGTGAACTCATTACATCTTACGAGGGGTTTTGCGAAAAATATAACTTTCATCCGCAACTAACTATGTTCTATGGGTTAAGAAATGCAATTATTTCAGCATGGAATATAATACATGTCAGAGCGTCCACTATAGTTCTGCCTCACTGCCCTAAGTTTATTTACAACATCATAACAAACAAAATAAGGGGTAAATCAATAAATAATTTATTGGTCAAAGAATTGAAAGTTAATACAAAATATCAACTGAAATGGGCTGAAGACCTAGACTCAATAATGAATGACTTTCAGTGGAGGAAAGTAAATATGTCTATTTTTAAAAATACTAAAGACATAAAACTTAGATGGCTCCAGTACAGAATAACACATAGAATCATCAGTACAAATAAATATCTCCACATGATAAAAATAAAAGACTCTCCACTTTGCTCCTTCTGTAATAATAACATAGAAACAATAATACATTTATTTTATGAATGTAGAGTAGTCGCTAGTTTCTGGAATGATCTCAAGCAATGGCTGTACACAAAAACCAACAAAGTCATAGAACTGAACAATAATGATGTCATAATTGGAAAAGCAACACATAAACAAGATATTAATGCTCTAAACAGTATTTTGCTGATTGCTAAGCACCACCTTTATAAGCAAAAACTAAAAACTAGTAGACCTAATTTTGCTTACTTTAAAAAAGACCTGGAAGACTACATTCGGATAGAACAGGTAATTTATAAAAAGAATATGGATTACAACAAGTTTGAAAATAAATGGTTCCAAATAATCTAACTTGATTACCTTATAGACATGCTAGTATTAAGTATTTTGTAATGTGTGAATGGATGCATGAAAGTTATATGTTATGTGTATAAAATAAATTAAATGTCTTTTTTGCTATATAGGTATGTATTGGTACTCCAGTTGTAATAAACACAGCAGCATATATAATTGAACAAAAGTATATCTCTGCTCTTCAAGGCAGAATCTGAGTGTAACAAATATATGTTCAATTTGAAACTTTCTCTCGCATTCATGTACCCCGTTGTAAAATTGTGTTGTCATTATATTATGCAAAAAGGAAAATAAAAAAGTGTCAAATCAACAAAAAGCTTCCTAATGTGGAAAAATGGAGACACACTTAATATTCTGTCTTTCTTAGAAAAAGAATTGAAACATGTGTGATGTGTCAACTTAGGACCTTTGGAAGTGATTCATACACTCTTTTCCTTTTAGTACCAAAAATCACACTCCACCTACAGTGTTGTCAATGGTTTTAGGAAGTATGTACCTGTGGTGTCGTGTAAGATAAGGGAGTTCAGCTATCTCAAATTCTTCTTTGAACTGCAACAGGGACAAACACTTAAAAATACATCAAATCTATGTCAAGTTGTTCTTAATGTTAAATGGCTGCATTCTGTGAGTCATAAGCCTGGAATTGTTTCCATGAAATAGTTCAAGCGTCTGTAGTTTTCAGGATGTTGGGCAGTGAAGGAAAACTCTAAAGCTTTGACTCATTTCCTGGAAATGTAATCTACTGCTGTATATATATAGCATAGACACAGCAGGATCAATACCAACAAAGTCCTCACTGGCCTTCAAGTTCTTTGTACCTATCGCCCTGCTATGAAGTATACACTGGCCTTCAACTTGTTACGTACCTATCACCCTGCTACTTGGAATAGACACATGTTTACCAGAAAAATGCTTTAATTATAAACATTACAAATAGGGAATTGAATTGTATAAACATTACAAATAGTAAATTGAATTGATTTAAGAGAGAAATGTTTTCAATAAATAAATTCAAAATATTTAAATAATAACCAAAGATTTAATTTGAGTTGTGAAACAGTTGACATGCTTGTACAATGAAGTAATTGGCTTAGATCAATTAACAGCAGTAAACACTACAGTCACTAGAAAATATAGAATGATCTGTTACTGTGCTTTTAGAATTATTTCAGGAAAGAATTAGATTGATACCTTATATCTTACTTTGTGTTACATGAGGAAGGGTAACTGGTGATACATGAGGTAGGGTAACTGGTGATACATGAGGTAGGGTAAATGGTGATACACGAGGTAGTGTAACTGGCGATACATGTGGAAGGGTACCTGGTGTTACATGAGGTAGGGCAACTGGTGATACATGAGGTAGGGTAACTGGTGATACATGAGGTAGGGGAACTGGTGATACATGAGATAGGGCAGTGTAACTGGCGATACATGTGGCAGGGGTACTGGTGATACATGAGGTAGTGTAACTGATGATACATGAGATATGGTAACTGCTCATACATGAGGTAGGGTAAATGGTGATACACGCCGCCGTGTAACTGGCGATACATGTGGGAGGGTACCTGGTGTTACATGAGGGAGGGCAACTGGTGATACATGAGGTAGCGTAACTGGTCATACATGAGGTAAGGTAACTGATGATACATGAGGTAGGGTACATGGTGATACACGAGGTAGGGTAAATGGTGATACACGAGGGAGTGTAACTGGCGATAAATGTGGAAGGGTAACTGGGGATACATGAGGTAGGGAAACTGGTGATACATTAGATAGGGTAACTGGTGATCCATGAGGTAGGGTAACTGGGGATACATGAGGTAGGGAAACTGATGATACATGAGGCACGGTAACTGGTGATACATGAGGCAGGGTAACTGGTGATACATGAGATAGGGTAACCGATGATACATGAGATAGGGTAACTGATGATACATGAGATAGGGTAACTGGTCATACATGAGGTAGGGTAACTGATGATACATGAGGCAGGGTAACTGGTGATACATGAGATAGGGTAACTGGTGATACATGAGATAGGGTAACTGGTGATACATGAGATAAGGTAACTGATGATACATGAGATAGGGTAACTGGTGGTACATGAGGTAGGGTAACTGAAGATACATGAGGCAGGGTAACTGGTGATACATGAGATAGGGTAACTGGTGAAACATGAGGTAGGGTAACTGATGATACATGAGGTAGGGTAACTGGTGATACAGGTACATGAGGTAGGGTAACTGAAGATACATGAGTCAGGGTAACTGGTGATACATGAGATAGGGAAACTGGTGATACATGAGGTAGGGTTACTGGTGATACATGAGGTAGGGTACCTTGTGATACATGATGTAGGGTAACTGATGATACATGAGATAGGGTTACTGTTGTTACATGAGGTAGGGTAACTGGTGATACATGAGGTAGGGCAACTGATGATACATGAGGCAGGGGAACTGGTGATACATGAGATAGGGTAACTGATGATACATGAGATAGGGGAACTGGTGATGCATGAGGTAGGGTAACTGATGCCCCCTGAGGCAGGGTAACTGGTGATACATGAGGCAGGGGAACTGGTGATACATGAGATAGGGTAACTGGAGATACATGAGGGAGGGGAACTGATGATACATGAGGTAGGGTAACTGGTGATACATGAGGGAGGGTAACTGATGATACATGAGGCAGGGTAACTGGTGATACATGAGGCAGGGTAACTGGTGATACATGAGGTAGGGTACCTGATGATACATGAGATAGGGTAACTGGTCATACATGAGGTAGGGTAACTGATGATACATGTGATAGGGTAACTGTTGTTACATGAGGTAGGGTAACTGGTGATACATGAGATAGGGAAACTGGTGATACATGAGGTAGGGTAACTGATGATACATGTGATAGGGTAACTGTTGTTACATGAGGTAGGGTAACTGGTGAGACATGAGGAAGGGTAACTGGTGGTACATGAGGAGGGATCTGGTGCTACATGAGGTAGTGTAACTGGCGATACATGTGGAAGGGTAACTGGCGATACATGAGGTAGGGTAACTGGTGATACCTGAGGAAGGGTAACTGGTGGTACATGAGGAGGGATCTGGTGATACACGAGGTAGTGTAACTGGCGATACATGTGGAAGGGTAACTGGCGATACATGAGGTAGGGTAACTGGTGATACATGAGATAGGGAAACTGGTGATACATGAGGTAGGGTAACTGGTGATACATGAGGTAGGGTTACTGGTGATACATGAGGTAGGGTACCTGGTGATACATGATGTAGGGTAACTGATGATACATGAGATAGGGTAACTGTTGTTACATGAGGTAGGGTAACTGGTGATACATGAGGAAGGGTAGCTGGTGGTACATGAGGAGGGATCTGGGGATACATGAGGTAGTGTAACTGGCGATACATGTGGAAGGGGACCTGGTGTTACATGAGGTAGGGTAGCTGGTGATACATGAGGTAGGGTAACTGGTGATACATGAGATAGGGTAACTGGTGATACATGAGATAGGGTAATTGATGATGCCTGAGATAGGGTAACTGGTGATACATGAGGTAGGGTAACTGATGATACATGAGATAGGGTAACGATACATGAGGTAGGGTAACTGATGATACATGAGGCAGGGTAACTGTTGATACATGAGATAGGGTAACTGGTGTTACATGGGGTATTGAGGTAGGGTAACTGATGATACATGAGATAGGGTAACGATACATGAGGTAGGGTAACTGATGATACACGAGATAGGGTAACTGGTGATAGATGAGATAGGGTAACTGATGATACATGAGATAGGGTAACGATACATGAGGTAGGGTAACTGATGATACATGAGATAGGGTAACGATACATGAGGTAGGGTAACTGATGATACACGAGATAGGGTAACTGGTGATACATGAGATAAGGTAACTGGTGATACACGAGATATGGTAACTGGTGATACATGAGATAGGGTAACTGATGATACATGAGGTAGGGGAACTGGTGATACATGAGATAGGGTAACTGGTGATACATGAGATAAGGTAACTGGTGATACACGAGATAGGGTAACTGGTGATACATGAGATAGGGTAACTGGTGTTACATGGGGTATGTTAACTTGTGTTACATGAGGTAGAGTAACTGGTGTCACATGGGGTAGGGTAACTGGTGATACATGAGGTAGGGTAACTGGTGATACATGAGGTAGGGTAACTGGTGATACATGAGGTAGGGTAACTTGTGTTACATGAGGTAGAGTAACTGGTGTTACATGGGGTAGGGTAACTGGTGTAACATGAGGTAGGGTAACTGGTAATACATGAGGTAGGGTAACTGGTGTTACATGGGGTAGGGTAACTGGTGTAACATGAGGTAGGGTTCCTGGTGTTACATGAGGTAGGGTAGCTGGTGATACATGAGGTAGGGTAACTGGTGATACACGAGGTAGGGTAACTGGTGATACATGAGGTAGGATAACTGGTGATACATGAGATAGGGTAACTAGTGATAAGTGTAATCTTTACAGATTGATTGTTTACACTGATTTGTCCTCTTATTTCTGCTTTCACTGGTAATACACCTAATAACTGATTAACAGGTTGTACAATGTTCAGGCCAAGAGTCCTACCTTAACACAGCTATATTGAAAAGTTATTATACCCCCGCAACGAAGTTAGGGGGGGTATACTGGAATCACCCTGTCTGGATGTCTATCTGTCGTACGCAGTAACTTGTCCGGAAAACTCCTCCTTAATTAACAGGTGGATTTCATTGAAACATTGAAACATTAATTTGGGATTTCGACCCTTTTTTAAGGAGTTATGCCCCTTTTTGCGAAATACTTGACCGGAAAACTCCTCCTTAATTAACAGGTGGATTTCATTGAAACTTTGCATGAATGATCAGTATCTTATGTAGTTGTACACCGGCATTTTAATTTGAGACTTCAACCCTTTTTGATGGAGTCATGCCCCTTTTTTCGAAATACTTGTCCGTGCAACTCCTCCTTAAATAATAGGTGAATTTCATTGGAACTTTGCATGAATGATCAGTATCTTTTGTTGTTGCGCACTGGCATTTTAATTTGGGATTTCAACCTTTTTTGATGGAGTTAAGCCCCTTTGTGCAAAATACTTGTTTTTTGTTGTTGTTATTTTATTGTTTTGATTTTAATAAATAGTGATTACCATAACTCATTACTGGTGGGAGACTATATTGCTTTGCATAAGTAAGCCTTTAGCGTACAGTTCTGGTGTATATAGGAGCGGGGGTATTAGTTAGCCTTTAGCTTACAGTTCTAGTTAAAATTTGTTTTCTCTTAATCAACTAACAGTTGTAATGTTAATTCTCCTGACAACCAATTACTCAGTGGTAATACACCTGACAACCTATTAACAGTTTTGATTTGTTCAACTAATTGACAGTTGTTGTGTTCATACTACTGAAAACAAATTAACACATAGTACTTAATACTTAATACTCCTGACAACCAATAAATGGTTGTAATGATAATAAACTAATAACCAATTAACAGTTGTAGTGTAATATTCCTGACAATTTACAGTTGTAGTGTAATATTCCTGACAATTTACAGTTTTAGTGTTCAACCAATTAACAGTTGTGTTCATACTTCTGACAACCAATTAACACACACTGTTTACTAACTGACAACCAAATAACAGTTGTAATGTAAATGAACTGACACCATTTAACACGGTGTTAATAAACTAACAACCAATTAACAGTTGTTAGCTTAATATTTCTGATTACCAATTAACAGTTGTATTAATTAATACACCTGGAAACTGATTAACACAGTATTAATAAACTAACAACCAATTAACAGTTGTAATGTTAATAATCCTTACAACCAATTAACACACAGTATTAATTAACTGACAACCAATTAACAGTTGTAAGCTTAATATTTCTGACAACCAGTTAACAGTTGTAGTATTAATTAAATTGATAACCAATTAACAGTTGTAATATTAATAACACACAGTATTAATAGACTGATAGCAACTTAACAGTTGTAGTGTTGATACTCCTGGCAACTAATAACACTGTGTTAATTAATATGGCAACCAATTAACAGTTGTAATTTTAATAAGCCTGACAACCAATTAACAGTTGTAATTTTAATAAACAACCAATTAACAGTTGAAGTGTTAAAGACTCCTGACAACTAATAAACGGGTTATTTTATAGTGTAGTCTGTATTTCTTGTGACAATTTCTAATTATATAGCTATAAATAATATTTAGTAACCCCTTCTTACTGAAGATTTAAGTAAAACTTTGTAACTGGTAAGTTTATTTTTAAGGTAGTTTTTATCATTGTTTAAATTGACTTATCCACAACAATTAATTAATTCTGCTAAGTCACTATAAGAAGTTTTATATTTTTCTGATTTTATCCTTCCCAATTTTTTGTTTTCATCCGAGATTGTGTGTGACTTGTTTGACAGAATGTGGTGTCTACAGCCCCTGAGAGACCTCAGTGTATTGATTCAGCGACAGAATGCTATCGCTTTCTTTGTGAGCCCACGTAACATCGAGGTGCTCACCACACTAACTGATTGTCTCAAACACATCAAGAACGTCACGGTAAGTTAATTTTCTGACCAGTCCTTGTCATATTTTTTACAGTCATCATCACAAACACTACATTTGATGAGGTCAACACAAACTGACCTGTCCCAAGAATCACAAAACATGTTTAAGGACATTCTCAGTTCTCACAACCGTTTGGTTTGTTAATGTTTTACGTCCTATTAACAGCTATGGTCATTTAAGGACGTGCCAGGTTTAGGTGGTGGAGGAAAGCCAGAGTTCCCGGAGAAAAACCAACGACCTGCGGCCAGTACCTGGCGACTGCCCCAAATAGGCCTCGAACCCTCACAATCGAATTCATTTAAAAGGCTTTTATTCTGTAACGCTAGCTGAAAGAGTAAAATATCTGAAGTTATGCATGTATTACTTAGTACTTAGTAACCATACCGTGACAACGGGGGATTCATTGGAAGAAATCTGAATTTGAGAGGAAATGTGAAATTTTGTTATAAGAATATTTAAGTAAAAAATATTAACAAATAAACTACATCAATGTAAGTTTACACATCAGTATTTGTCAATGCTGCAAGTTCACTCTTCAGTGAACTACAGTTCTGTAAGTTCCTATGTTAGTGAACTATAGTTCTGTAAGTTCCTATGTCAGTGAACTATAGTTCTGTAAGTTCCTATTTCAGTGAACTGTAGTTCTGTAAGTTCCTATTTAACTGTAGTTCTGTAAGTTCCTATTTCAGTGAACTATAGTTCTGTAAGTTCCTATTTCAGTGAGCTATAGTTTCCTATTTCAGTGAACTATAGTTCTGTAAGTTCCTATTTCAGTGAACTATAGTTCTGTAAGTTCCTATTTCAGTGAACTTTAGTTCTGTAAGTTCCTATTTCAGTGAACTAGGCATGTATACACATCTGTTGGCCAATAATTTATGCACGTAAGTGAATTTCACTAATCAAGATATTTGTCTTCAAGGATATTACTTTTAGATGTTTGACCTCAGATGTAACTGTGGTTTACCCAAATCAATGTAAGCTTAGTCTTTGTATCAAACAGAATGCTATCACATGACCCAGTATACTTTTCTGTTGTAATAATTAAAATTTTAATGAAATCTGTTTTATTCTGGCAATCTTTAAGGAGATCTTTTGTTGCTTAAACTGTAGCTCGGTAAAAGTTAATTCTGCTGTGATGTACAAAAATGTAATCAACCGAAGTTCTAAACAAAGGAAGAATACAAAAAAAATACAAAAGCTATTCTACAAAGAATTAGATAATTTGATTATGTACTTGGCTTCAGTTATCAAAACTGTTCGAATGATTGGTGGTGTGGAACTTACAATAAATGAGTCATCTCCCTTGTACACTGTTATTCTCTTGGTTTCATTTAGAAATAATTGGTAATAAAGTATTTGTGATTATTTGCAGAGTTGTGAACATTTATGTGTTTTGTTTTTGTCTCACCGCCACAAAGTAGCGGTAGCAGGACTTCGGTATTGCTTTTCTGATGGCAGCTGTGGCGGCATCAACATGAAGTTTTTGCATTTAACTTAGTTTCACTGAAAGTATAAGTGCTAGACCAACCAAACTTGCACCAAGGATGCATCTTAGGTAGAAATACTCAACTCATGCATCTCATTCTAGATGCTGCCTACCTTTCATGGTCCATTGACTTGATAGCATCTCCATCAACATTAAGTTATTGCTTTAAAATTAGTTTCTCTGAAAATACAAGTGCTAGACCAACCAAACTTGACATGTGCATTGTTGGTCAAAGCGGGGCACAGGCAAGACGTATCAATCTGAACGGCTTGTTTTATGTTTTGTTTTAACGTAAAGATTTTGAACATAGCAGATTAATGTAATACTATGTAGTACTAATATTGTATTATTGACCATCAGAGAGTCCTGGCCAGGATGACCAACACCCAGGCATCAGTTGGGGACTGGCAGGCACTCTACAAGGTAAGTATAGGCTTCAGGATCTGTTAAAAATAAAAACTCTTAAATCATATCAAGGTTGAAAATGGCTTAATTCTACAATGTATTGCCAGACCTAAGCCATCTTCCAACAGTATATTAATAATTGACTACACTAAGTTCACAATAAGTACTGTTGGTCATAGGCGTTGTGTGTTTATGCTGGGGAGTGTCTGGAGGCAGAGGTCATAGGCATTGTGTGTGTATGCTGGGGATTGTCTGGAGACAGAGGTCATAGGCATTGTGTGTGTATGCTGGGGAGTGTCTGGAGGCAGAGGTCATAGGCATTGTGTGTGTAAGCTGAGGAGTGTCTGGGAGACAGAGGTCATAGGCATTGTGTGTGTATGCTGGGGAGTGTCTAGAGGAGGAGGTCATAGGCATTGTGTGTGTATGCTGGGGAGTGTCTGGAGGCAGAGGTCATAGGCATTGTGTGTGTATGCTGGGGAGTGTCTGGAGACAGAGGTCATAGGCATTGTGTGTTTATGCTGGGGAGTGTCTTGAGGCAGAGGTCATAGGCATTGTGTGTGTATGCTGGGGAGTGTCTGGAGGCAGATTTATGAAGATATCAGACCGGAAGAACCTGCCTCCTAATGATTTTAATTGATAAAAAACAAGTTTTGACTCAAAAAAGAAGTGAAAATATCCCACATGTAAATAGTTTTGTAATCTGTTGGTAGTATTTTATCTACAGTGGTTGATCTTTTATCTATCTTGGTCAAAATATTTCTAAAATTCTATTTTAACCATTTCTTATATTTCTATATACAATGTATACAGTATGAATTTCACCAAGCTTTACAGTTGACAGTTTTGTCAAATGATGTAGCTTGGTGCTGTGTCAAATTATCAGGTGTTGTGTACTACATGTTTGTAGTTCTCCTTAATCGGGGGATTTTGTAGCTGTGTATAACTTGTATACCTACTAAAAATATGCTGATACAAGAAATACTCTGTAAAAAGCACACATACATTATTCTGTATGTAGTATTGTAATGCATGCATACATCATCTGTTCTCAGACAGTCTACCATGCCATCTACATTGGGGATATATGCAGGGCTCAGAGCATGGAAATAGATATCTTCAAAAAGGTAATAGTTCAAGAGATACTGGCACCAGAGTTAGTTCCCTTTGAAGACAGGTGAGACAAAGAACTTTTTCTGATGTCATATGATCTTGAACAAAATAAAAGGTTTATAATTATGATATATAGCCTGGAGCTGTTGGATGGCAATCATATTTGTTTGAATAAATTACCCTGACCCATGTTCAAGGTTGTAGGTCAGATGTATGTGTGTGTGTGTGTGTGGGGGGGGGGGGGGGGGGGGGGGGGGGGGGAATATCCAATGTGATGTTTTTTACTCTATAAATTGTCTTAGTACTCAGAATGAATAGGAACATTTTGAAGTGCCATTATTTGACAAAGGGAGATAGGTCAGCATCGTTGTCATCAGGGGAACAATGATCATTAATGTCCATTTTACAGATAACAACCAAATTCACAGAGGATCTACATCGCATTGCCACTCTCGTCAGCAAAATCGTAAGTTTTGTGATTTAACTATTCATTTTATATGATCACTACTCAAGCTTAATCAACTTTATACAATCACTTCACAAGTTTAATCAACTTTATACAATCACTACACAAGCTTAATGTTCAATCAACTTTATATATAATCGCTGTTATTAGTCTTGATGATATATGATGCAAGGAGTCCTTATTAAGTTTTCAATTTTGTTTCGTTGTTTAAAAATTCTGAACTGCATAAGCCCAGGAAAACGGGTACAGGGAGATCCTACTGGTTAAGGCTGAAGTTCGGGTTTGGTTAATTGTGCTTTCAGATCTCTGAACTGAGGTCCACATGCTATCAATGAAGGTGATGAGGTTCACTTAGAAAACAGGTTTCCAAATCATTCAAAATGACGGGTAAATGTCCAAGTTGGAAAAAAGGCACAGTGCATACTTAAACTATCTTTTGACTCATATACTATAATGAAAACTAGGGCCAAGGAAAGGATCAAATTATTTCAAAATTCCTTTTTTTGTGGAAATGTCACTGGTTAGAGATCGTCAGCGGCTCTATTAGGTTCAGAGATTACTTATGTAAAAGTTCTAATGGATGTTGAGTTAAACAAAGTCCATTCTAGGATTCTTAGCTGAGGCACTGCCAAGGATGTAGACATTTTATTTTGTAGTATTATGGATTTATCTTATTACTTGGTGCTATAAAAGGATAGAAAAATTGGGGGGGGGGGGGGGGATCTTAAAGTTTATGAATGACTAATTGAAGCTACGTGCATATTGCTGGTACTCCATTAATTATGTGTGATAATGATGTGTGATAAGGTGATCAGTTAATTAAGTGTTACACCTGGCAGGTGATCAGCTGACTGAGAGTCTAACTTGAGTGATGGATATGTTAGATATACTGACCCTTGGGCCGGTCTTGTGACATTTCTAAAAGTAAACTGGACGCCCTGGGGTCTTACAGCGTGAAAAAATGATAAATTTTCATTATGTGTGGGCATCCACCAAAGTGCTATGGTGTGGACGGTATCAGGTGTGTCTCTCACCTGTACATGTGACCTGTCTACTTTACAGGTGATTACCTAGCCATGTTACCTATTGCATACATGCACATAATCTGTCTCGCCCACATGCCACCAAATGTTTTCCTGGTATGTTTGTTGGTATGCGAGTTTGAAAGATATGTTAATCAATAAATGTCTGATCTGATGTCAGTGGCCTTGTCAATGATTTATTTATATAGTATGACATTTTTTTCCTATGAAATACCTCAAAACCAAAAATGTTACCGTGACAGTATTATAAAATATTCTGATTTATGAAAATTTTATATCACTTGACAATTATGTGACTTTTTCACAATGAGAAATTGTTCTTAACTTTATAAATAACAATAGCTGTTAATCAATTTAGATATTTTCAGATTATAAATATGTAGATGCAAAGTGGATAGGAGGTGTTTGATCTGGGCCAGTGTTTCTGTGACGTTAAGATACAGATACACACATAACGGGCCTTTGTCCTGGTATCCTCTGTCTCACCTTACAGTTGGACAAACTTAAGTGTTTTGTTTGTTCACATGTATCCCCGGCCTGTAATGGGTACTCTTCACTACCACATGGAGGGACCACTCGACAACATCAAGTGTCCATATAGGTATAAAATGTTAATGTATAAGTGTTGTCCCAATTCAGGTGTGACAATGACCTTGACCTCCTGAAAGATGATTGCAGTTAGCACATAGGTATAAATTGTTGAATAGTGCTGACTATGATTATCTACATGGTTTCTGTATGATTATCTACATGGTTTCTGTATGATTCTCTACATGGTTTCTGTATGATTTGATATACATGCTTTCTGTTATGATTATCTACATGGTTTCTGTTATGCTTATATACAAGGTTTCTGTATGATTGTCTACATGGTTTCTGTTATGATTATCTACATGGTTTCTGTATGATTATCTACATGGTTTCTGTATGATTATCTACATGGTTTCTGTATGATTATCTACATGGTTTCTGTATGATTATCTACATGGTTTCTGTATGATTATCTACATGGTTTCTGTATGATTATCTACATGGTTTCTGTATGATTATCTACATGGTTTCTGTATGATTATCTACATGGTTTCTGTATGATTATCTACATGGTTTCTGTATGATTATCTACATGGTTTCTGTATGATTATCTACATGGTTTCTGTATGATTATCTACATGGTTTCTGTATGATTATCTACATGGTTTTTGTATGATTATCTACATGGTTTCTGTATACTTATCTACATGGTTTCTGTATGATTATCTACATGGTTTCTGTATGATTATCTACATGGTTTCTGTATGATTATCTACATGGTTTCTGTATGATTATCTACATGGTTTCTGTGTGATTATCTACATGGTTTCTGTATGATTATCTACATGGTTTTTGTATGATTGTCTACATGGTTTCTGTATACTTATCTACATGGTTTCTGTATGATTATCTACATGGTTTCTGTATGATTGTCTTCATGGTTTCTGTATGATTATCTACATGGTTTCTGTATACTTATCTACATGGTTTCTGTATACTTCTCTACATGTTTTTTGTATGATTATCTTCATGGTTTTTGTATACTTATCTACATGGTTTCTGTATGATTATCTACATGGTTTCTGTATGATTATCTACATGGTTTCTGTATACTTATCTACATGGTTTCTGTATACTTCTCTACATGTTTTTTGTATGATTATCTACATGGTTTTTGTATACTTATCTACATGGTTTCTGTATGATTATCTACATGGTTTCTGTATGATTATCTAAATGGGTTATGTATGCTTATCTACATGGTTTTTGTATGATTATCTTCATGGTTTCTGTGTGATTGTCTTAATGGTTTCTATATGCTTATCTACATGGTTTCTGTATGATTATCTACATGGTTTCTATGTGATTGTCTAAATGGGTTATGTATGCTTATCTACATGGTTTCTGTGTGATTGTCTACATGGTTTCTGTATGATTGTCTTCATGGTTTCTGCATGCTTATCTACATGGTTTCTGTATGCTTATCTACATGGTTTCTGTGTGATTGTCTACATAGTTTCTGTATGATTGTCTACATGGTTTCTGTAAGATTATCTACATGGTTTTTGTGTGATTGTCTACATGGTTTCTGTATACTTATCTACATGGTTTCTGTGTGATTGTCTACATAGTGCCTATTTGATTGTCTACATGGTTTCTGTATGATTGCCTACATGGCTAACTGTACCTGTATGATTGATTTTTTTTAGTAAAATTGACTGATTTCTGTGTGATATTTTTGAGTTGTCTCTGTATTGTTGGCTTGCTCCTGTATGATAAACTCATTGATATATTGGTTTCTATTATTCTATTATGGCCCTTTCCCGAGCCGTTAGACGAGGTTACTATACCTCCCCATACAACACTATAAGAGACCTGTTCCCGAGGGAAAGGGTCATAATAGATTTAGTACATCACATGACTGTTATTTGACAGTAAAAAGACAAACATGACCAACTTCATTGATAACATATTTAATAATTAACAACAGCTGGAAATTTGAACGTAACATTTGATTCACGAGTTGTTGTTAATTATAACAGTACAATTACTAAAACTGAAAGAAGGTGTACAAACAATGGAATGTCAAAATCTCTGCCACATGATGGTTCGTGTAAATGCCGCCGCAAACCTTGCCTAATGGCAATAAGAGAACTTTTTGAGTAGATCTCTCCTTTTTAGCTCACCTGACCCAAAGGGCCAAGTGAGCTTATGGCATGGTGCGGCGTCCGATGTCTGTCCGGCGGCAACTTTTTACTTTAAACTTCTTCTGAATAACCAATAGGCCCAGGCTGATGATATTTAGCCAGTAGCTTACTGGATTGAAGGGCTACCAAGTTTGTTCAAATGAATGACCTTGACCCACTTTCAAGATCACAGGGGTCAAATGTCGTAAAATCTTCAAACGACTTCTTCTCAATAACCAAAAGGCCCAAGGTACTGATATTTGGCCTGTAACACGCTATGATGAAGGGCTACCAAGTTGGTTCGAATGAATGACCTTGACCAACTTTCAAGGTAACAGGGGTAAAATGTCTTAAAATTTTCATACAACTTCTTCTCAATAACCGAAAGCCCCAGGGTACTGATATTGGGCCTGTAGCATGCTTGGATAAAGGGCTACCAAGTTGGTTCGAATGAATGACCTTGACCAACTTTCAAGGTCACAGGGGTCAAATATATTAAAATCTTCAAACTACTTCTTCTGAATAACCAAAAGGCCCAGGGTACTGATATTGGGCCTGTAGCATGCTGGGATGAAGGGCTACTAAGTTTGTTCAAATGAATGACCTTGACCCACTTTCAACCTAATGTCCTTGTCGACATTCAAGGTCACAGGCGTCATATCTTTAAAACTTTTAATAGGTTCTTATGAATCAAACACTGATATTCTGCCTGTAGCTGTATTTTATTCCACTTTTAAGATTACAAGTGTGAGATTAATACCAGGTGAGCGATACAGGCCCATTGGGCCTCTTGTTTGTTGCGTATATTGGCATAGAAATCCGCCAAAACACTGTTCACATTCATTGGATTGAATCACCACTAGGTCACATACGGTTCTCCTTTCCAGTAGAAAGTCTTTAAGGACTGCAACGGCAAATTGTGTCGCTTGCTTCGTCTTTATGCATTGCTGAGCCTCTGCAAAGTAATGGGCATTCCCGGTCCCGAATCTGGAAGCCATTTTGGCAGAAGACAACAATGAAGTAAAAATTAGAATATGTAAAGCGCCCCCTAGGAGAAGGGGTGCAACTCTTAGCGTCATGCTTCTTTTCCCGTAGTCTCAGCGGTCCAAAAATAAGGTGTAGTGCCGGGTCCCAGGTATAGTTCCCGTCGTCAAGGGCGGATGCTAACTATACCAAATAGAACAAGGGTAGTTATCCAATAGCTATCCTAGAAATGATCATGTGATGTACTAAATGGTTGATCAGTTCAGTATGATAGGGTGATTTGTGTGTGGTTTACTTGTCTCGGTATTGACGACTTGTTTCTATATGTTTGGTTTGTGTCTGTATAATTGCTTCCTGTAAAAATTCAGACTCTTACAGCAAATTAGGACATAATTAATTGCCAGAACAAACTACAGAAGGCCTTTAATTCAAATCTTTTTGACCCCACTAGAAGTATTTCAGTACATTGCCTTCCTTTCTGAGAAATGATATGAAACAACATGCCCTAGACATTCAGTGGGGAGACATATGGAAAACTCATCGCCGGATAAGGTAGTGCAGCCTGTCTTAACCGATCGAACGAACCCTGAACAATCTAAAAGCCTGTGTAAACCAGAGCCCAGAATGTCAGAATTAGGTGAATGTAGTTAGTGTCACATTACAATTTAGAACAGATTCTTCACCTGTAAGTATGACTTAAACAAAATACCATCTTTAGACAAGAAATCAGAAAATTTTGATTAATTTTTAGAGGTTTCTCGAAGTAATCGCATTTTTAACATTTATTTTAATCGCAGGGCTGACCAGTGAGACAGGCACAGGGAAATACATGCTATCAAACGAAGCAATTAAACATGTAATGCAAAGAAACAACAAACAGTTATCAATCAATTAATGATTTAGACAACAATTATGCTTAATTTACCCCCAGAGAAAATATTACCCTACCTCTTTCAATTCCTCTCTGAGCTGAAAATTCACTGACTTTCTTTATGCTTCCCCCAATCTGAACATTTTTCACCTGTTTTGAAAATATCCTTACTCTTTAAAACTGTTACTGTTCCCCTATTGGTACTAATAAGAGAGACCTAGAAGAAAAGGAAAAATGATTGGATAAAAAGCAAAAAATGGAAAGAAAGAGGAAAAAAAAGGGGGGGGGGGGGTTCCGTGCAATCAAGTTTTATAGAAGTTGATTAGAATGATGACAAAAGAAGATGGAAATTTAAAGTAGAGATAATTTTATAATTATTAATACTGGATACAAAATGTACATGTCCTGAGATGTCCACCCTCAGATAGTAAATGTATACACAAAAATACTTATATTTATATAGATACTGTACAGTACTTCAGAAGATGTGCTTGAACATTTGATTTAATGTAACATAAAGCTAATGGAGTTTGATGCAACAATATCCTTTTCTGGACAACAAAGCATTTTTCTCCTTTTTTGTTTCCAATAAGAGAACACATTTTTTTTCTACAATTCTGAAGGAAGGTCCCTGTAAGTAGATTACGCTCCTATACGAACCTAGCAGGCATGGAAACATATAATTCTGTAGGAAATCCCCCATAAGTGGATTATATTCCTAAAAGAACTTAAAATGCATGAAAGAAAATGTATAATTCTGTAGGAAGTCCCCCTTCAATTGATTATGCTGCTATAAGAATTTAGCACGTATGAAAACCTATAATTTTGTAATTTTGTAATTTTATAATTTTATAATCCATGTCCCAATAGGAGGACATGGATAACCTGAAGGGGTGTTTCACTGTATACAACTTTGTGCAGAGAAAAATGCCTAAAACAAACACAGAAGTTAATGTAAACCAGACATATTAAAAGGTTATAGAACTTGTCTGATTTGTAAAACTTGTATAATATAAACATAATATTTTTGTCCATGTGATGGTCGCTGTAGACAGGTTTCACTGTAGTCATAATATTCAAGGATTATAGGCATAAAGAGAATCACATGACTTGGTGTTTGCGAACAGAAAACACAAAGATCGTGATGTTCTGCCTTACATGCGATACATGTTGCTGAGTCAGGTTGACTATTAATGTGTCGATTGTGAAGGGTGTGACTGGACAATTTCTATTTTTGTTGTAGTATCCAGTACTCGGTATCATAACACTTAAGACTTCTGACTTGTGAAATGTTTGTGGACACATGTACTCCATACTGTACATTACTGGAGTGAACAAACAGTTCCCTTTAGAGGATTACGAGTTTCCTTGTATGTTGATGCACATCTGTGGCATGACCATATGTTTTAATGTTGTCCAATGGTTTACCATTGAAGGAAAATCCTCCTGGAGTTTCTACAGTGATTGTAGTGACTGTCAATACCTGGAGTTTCCACGGTGATTGTAGTGACGTCAATACCTGGAGTTTCTAGGTGATTGTAGTGACGTCAATACCTGGAGTTTCCACGGTGATTGTAGTGACTTCAATACCTGGAGTTTCTACGGTGATTGTAGTGACGTCAATACCTGGAGTTTCTACGGTGATTTAGTGACGTCAATACCTGGAATTTCTACGGTGATTGTAGTGACGTCAATACCTGGAGTTTCTACGGTGATTGTAGTGACGTCAATACCTGGAGTTTCTACGGTGATTGTAGTGACGTCAATACCTGGAGTTTCTACGGTGATTGTAGTGACGTCAATACCTGGAGTTTCTACGGTGATTGTAGTGACGTCAATACCTGGAGTTTCTACGGTGATTGTAGTGACGTCAATACCTGGAGTTTCTACGGTGATTGTAGTGACGTCAATACCTGGAGTTTCTACGGTGATTGTAGTGACGTCAATACCTGGAGTTTCTACGGTGATTGTAGTGACGTCAATACCTGGAGTTTCTACGGTGATTGTAGTGACGTCAATACCTGGAGTTTCTACGGTGATTGTAGTGACGTCAATACCAGTTTCTCAGTAGTGAAGGATTCCTGATTTCTTCCGAACATGTTTGTACGGCTGGATGGCTTCAGAATCGGGCAAAATTTCTTGTTCTAAGGGCTAAACAACAGAAGATTCCTGCTTTACATGTGGGTTTCGATGGTTTGTGATGGGTTAAAAAGTACTGATAGTATGCACATTAAAACAAGAAGTAGGATGCTAAACATCTTTCAGAAGGTATTTTAAATGTTTGATCACATTCTTTACTTGTACATTAACAAATAAATTTAATACATTTAGAAAACTGCATGTTTTGCAACCAATGAAGTTGAATTACATCTTCTTAAAAACTAAAAGTGTTCTGTTTCTTGGTTAAAATTAAAAGATTTTCTCCCTGTGAGCACATCTTATGAATGGTACCTTGGACTCGATGAGATTTCTACTTCTATTCATAGTGCAGGGGAGACAACTAACATCCTAACACTCCATGTTAGCATGGGTTAGACAGTTGATATTCCCAGTACTTTAGGTTGGCATGTATTATATCCCCAAAATAAGTAACATTATGGTATGATGAGGATAGTCAACACACACAGTTTGATCTACTTAACATTATATCCCAAAAATAAGTAACATGGTATGTTGAGGATAGTCAACACACAGTTTGATCTACTTAACATTATATCCCAAAAATTAGTAACATTATAGTATGCTGAGGATAGTCAACACACAGTTTGATCTACTTAACATTATAGTATGTTGAGGATAGTCAGCACACAGTTTGATCTACTTAACATTATAGTATGTTGAGGATAGTCAACACACACAGTTTGATCTACTTAAAGTTTGATCTACTTCATCAGCAGCTGAAGGGAATTCTCATTTTTATTTATTAAAAAAACACCTACAGAACAGTGGCAATTTTCTTAGGGATCTGACTTGCTACTGTTTGTGTTATTGCTGTTACCGGTACATTTACATACATATTGTAACGACTCTTACATCACTGTTTCAGAAGTCTAACACAACTTGTTCCATTGCCAGAGTCAAATTTGTACCTACTTGGTATAAAAAGCACACCAGGGTTCTAATGCTGCCAAATGCTCTAGAGGTTGATCTTTTGAATTGATTGTTGTATTATCAACCATTGTTTTAGCTCATTTCCAGGCCGTTGATTCGCATTTCTGTGGTCCATGCATTTGTTTGCAATATCATTACTAAAGTATTAATGACAAAGATCCAATGCGATCAAAAGATCCAAAGTGATCACAATAAAACATTAATAACTCAAAAAGTAAAAAAACCCATTATCACCAAGGTGATTAACCACTAATTAGTACTCCAACACAAGGAAAAATAATTCCTATCAATTTTAAAAATATTCCGTCCTGTTAAAGTGAAAGAATAAGATGCCTATAAAGGCATACAAAAATACAGAATGACAGGGAACCTCTTTACAAACTACAATTTAAAATGATCAAATTTAGGGGGAACCATAAACTGAACCAGTACCAGCTAGAGTAAAGAGAAATACTTCTTGTCAATATGTTTACAGTGTAACCTTGTTAGTGAACACAAATTAATTTTAAAGAGAAAATGATGGACATGTGACTGCTAATTCCTTAGTTGACGAGTGCCTGATTACTTTGACCTGACAAATCAAGTTTTACATATCCTCCAGATTGTGACTTTCTATCGACGGTACACTTTTACTTTGATTGCAGGTTGACTTTGAGGAGAGCAGCAGTCAAGCAAGATTTGTGGTCAAGTCTGGAGTGGACTCTGAACTGGACGAACGTATGTCATAGTATACCTCTACCTACCATATAATTTAAACATGATAATGGTGCTCGGCATAACCTCTTGCAATAAAGTTATGCCAAAAAGAAGTTCTTTTCAAGTATCATGCAGGCACGGTAGTCTAGTGGTAGGACGCCGGGCTCGTGACCGAAGGGTTGTGTGTTCGAGTCACGTCAAGGCACTGTGTTGTATCTTTGAGCAAGATGCTTTGCTCAGCTTGTTCCAGTCTACTCAGCTGTAAATGAGTACGTGGTTGGGCAGTGCTAGAATTGTTGAATGCTAGCTGTTAGTGCCGAAATGGCAGCTCCAGCTGTATGCTCCCCCAGGGAGTTGAGAAAGGTATTGGCTGGTTGCAAAGGCCCTATAACCACGGATAATAATTTGTGAAACACTTTGAGACGACCTACGAACTAGGTTGTGATAAAGCGGTATATAAGAACCTCAAATTATGATTATTATTAAGTAAGAATACAGATAGATTTTTTTCAACTGAGTACCAGTATGATTAGAGTAAATGTTTTAGGTGATAGTACGATAACAAATGTTGTAACTGTGTTTTCTAATTTTGGTTTAACCAGGAAAGAGGACATACAATGGTCTCCCAGATTTCATGACCAAAGTGGCCAAGGAGGAGCTGAACAGACTCAGTGACGAAATCACAGAATGTAATGTCATCTACCTGCCTCAGGTAAGAATATCTGTCTACTCACTTATAATTAGTACCTGTAGGTGAAATGTTGTATACCTACTTCAGGTAACTTTCAGATGAAACGTAGTTTGTCTGCCTTAGGTAGCACTCGGGGGACTCTTAGATGAAATTCCATTTATGAACATTGTGAATTGTCAGCTACTTACATCTGGTGTACATACCTGTCTATCTGCCTGTTTTATTGGGAGAATCTTGACATTTCAAGCAAAACCCTAAAATAAATATCACCAATTGGAAAAAAATCCATTGAATTTTAATTTACATATTTAACTCTGTAATGACTAACCCCAGTGCTCAGGATTTAATTCCCTTTTTTTTTGGATAAAACAATTGGGATCATTTTGTTATATAAATGTCCATTTAATCTTGTAATCGGATGTTAAGAAAGGATCTTCATAACATGTATAACATCTGTTTATAGCTTGGGTACCTACTGGCTATCCCCAAGATGGACCGCATGCAGACTGAAGCTGACTATGTTATACCGGGTCTGGAGTTTATGGTGGGTAATAGTACTAAACTTTCCAATACATCAGGGGTTTTGTTTAAACATTGCTGAAGCGAAATGGTAGTTGTAAATATCTTATCAGACCACTATTCTTTGTGCATCTACAGTGGAAGGGAGATAACTCATTGGCTAAAATAACTAAAAATCTTTGTTAATTTCTTTCTCACAGTTTCTTTCTAACAGTATGCTTCACTATAAAAGTGCTAGCACCAGAGGTATGGTTTTCAAAATCCTTTGTTCCTGTTGTATTACAATTTTTTTTTTATTTTTTTTTTTTAAATTATTCAAATGTTTTGATGAAAGATTTTTGTTGGAGTTGATTATTTTTTGACAGTTTAATTTATTTGATAAATGATTGTTTATTTTAAATTAATGTTATATAAAATGCTTGATTGTACAGAATACTATGTAATAAAAAAAACAGCATATGTTAGCAATTTTCCTTTCACATGTACAATTGATAAATGATGATATATGTGATACTATCTATACAAGAGCTTTAATTTTGGGTATATGATGGAATTTACACCGTCAACTACAGTTCATCATGTTATAAGATTTTTAAGATAAAAAAAATGATGCAGCTGTTTTCTTTTTCATTATTGATGCATCGTATCATCGGTCTTTCTTTTTAATGAAGATGTTAGATTATTTATCAGTTACATGATAACAGATAAAAGAAAGATTGACAAAAGGAAAGAGTATACCGGGGTAGGTATCAAAAGAAAAGTGGAAAGATAGGGGAGATGTATGGGTGGTAGTACTTGTGATTACAAGATACAGAGAATGTACATACATGTACATGCCACAGAAAGATGAAATGGGGAATAAGTCACATCAAATAAAATTTCTTTTGATGATTTAAAATTGATTTTTGAGTTATTGTTTTGATTATATCAGATTATCTCCCTTTTCAGAGTTGGACCGGCTGTTGGGGGATACCCAGTGTGAAATAACAGGTAGGGCTTATCACAGTATTACACCTTTACATGACTGTTGTATAGGAACTGTTATACCACATATCATGGTTTCTGCAATAACATTCCATTCAACTCAACTTAAATGTCAACGAAGTATTGAATAAGTGTTCTCATTACAAATGCATTAAGGGATTCTGATAAAATAGTTTCAGTTTTCTAACACTGTAAATCTATTCAGAATTTATAAATCTAGTTTCATGCACTTTTGTTCCTGAGTTTGCTAAGTGGTCATTACCTAAACTTGTGATTAAATTTTACCTGTGTATATTCAGACATTTGTAAGGACAGTGTTTGTATATCCCTACAGATCAGGAGAACAGCATCATGCACAAACTACAGAACACCATCCTAGAACACTCTCGGGTCCTCGTTGATGTCATGGACCTGTGTGCTGAGCTTGATTGGTAATAATTTACAACAACTGACTTTAAATAAACCATTGCTTTGAAATGCTGATTTCTTTAATCTGACCACTATTTTGACTCCATTTTTTGGAGTGAGGTAATAATTAAATTGTTTGAATAAGGATTTAAGAAAAAGATTTATCAGTTTTTCTGATAAATGTCTGAATGTTTGTTTATTGTAGTCTGACCACTCTAGCCCAGTGTGCACGAGAGTACAACTATGTGAGGCCCAACCTGGTCAGTGAAGCGGTCATCATTGTCAAAGGAGGAAGGTCAGTATAGAGTGTTTTCCTCAGACACCACATCGCAGCCTCCTTCTTTTTTATTTATTTATTTTTTTGTAAAATTTTGTTGATTGCTCACATATTACAGCCATACATGTACATGGATGGGCAATCCAGCTCCTGTCCCAATACATAGTTTCCTTTCATACAAACTATAGTAACAACAGAAGCTGTAATCATGTCATTCAATGATGCAGTGTTGCACTTTTACCAATAAATTACTATCCACAAAAATGTACACATATTACTTTTAGGAATATTTTTTGTTTGTTTGTTGGGTCAGTCTGTTTCCTCTGACACCATGCCCTGTTTGAGGTTTTCTCTAGGCCTCTTACCATTGTGGTGTTTTTCTTTTCTCTTGATGTAATGCTCTCATGGCATATTCCCTAAGTTCCATCACTTTTTAAAACCATTTTGTCATATGTGCAGCTTGGGAAGGAACACAGAAGTTTACATAGTTGTCCGTGCACTGGTAACCAGCAGCAGATAAATGTCAAGATGTCTGACATTGTTATGGTTTCACCTGATGTAAGTTATGGTTGACGTAATTCTTCATGTTGTTATCAACATATGTTGTAAGTTAAGGAATACTTTACACTATTGGAATATTACATATTTCCACAGACACCCACTCCAGGAGCTGTGCTGCAGTCCCTTTGTCCCTAATGACATCTTGAGTGATGAAGAGAATGGCAAGATCAAGATCCTTACTGGACCCAATGCTTCTGGAAAGAGTGTTTACCTCAGACAGGTGAGTGTCGACCTCAGACAGGTGAGTGTTTACCTCAGACAGGTGAGTGTATACCTCAGACAGGTGAGTGTCTACCTCAGACAGGTGAGTGTCTACCTCAGACAGGTGAGTGTATATCTCAGACAGGTGAGTGTCTACTTCAGGCAGGTGAGTGTTTACCTCAGACAGGTGAGTGTTTACCTCAGGCAGGTGAGTGTCTACCTCAGACAGGTGAGTTTTTACCTCAGACAGGTGAGTGTTTACCTCAGACAGGTGAGTGTTTACCTCAGACATAGAATTTAGGAAAGAAGCATTTTAGCTTCTGAGGTTGAAGTTTGAGTCAAAATATCATTTAATTTTTTATTTATTTATAAAAAAAAAAATGGGGGGGGGGGGGGGGGGGGTGTCTTTTGCATTGAATGATATAACTATTTTGTTCTACATTTTTTACAAAAGCATACAACTTGGTTGTAGGTGGGGATGATTGTCTATCTGGCCCACATTGGCAGTTTTGTCCCAGCAGAGCAAGCTACCATCGGAATGTTTGACAGGATTTTCACACGCATACATTCTCTAGAGAGTGTGTCGGTCGGCCTCTCCACCTTTATGATCGACATCAATCAGGTAACATCATCACCTGAATGTCAGGGTTTCCAATTTAGTCGGGTAAGAAGGCACAATTTACAGATAAAAGGGAGGCAACTCATAATTATTCTTAAATTTAGGCTTTTAATATAGCCAGAAGGAAAGTTCAGAATTTTTTATGTTACTGTTCCTCATTATACCGAACCTCACTTTGTTGGAGACTAGGATTTATAATAATAAATTTGTTAGTGCATTATTTCTGTTGGTAGTTACACATTTTATTTATAAGGTTATCCAACAAATTCCTCAATAGATTTAGTTTAGTATATATTTCACTATAGTACCATAAAATCAAGTGTTATACATCAGTAAGTTTAAGGGTCACCAGTAAAGGTTCAAAGTTCACACTTGACTTACTTCTTCTGAATTAAAAATGCCTGTTTAAAAGATATCTCAACAACTTAACAACAGATGTATTTTGTATTTACACTAGAGTATAACATAAAGCTCTGTGTCTTACCTGATCAAATTTGTAGGGTCATCAGTCTATGTTAAAGGGTCAAAGGTCACACTTGACCACTTAGAAAGGGGAGTGTATTTCCCTACCCACTGTGTCTTTATTTTCAGTACATTATGTTTCAGATGACGGAGAGTTTGCGGAATGCCACAGATAAATCTCTGGTTCTGGTTGACGAGTTCGGCAAAGGTACAGCCATGGTCAGTATCAGTCTCTAGGGCTTCAGAGTAAGGATGTCATGTACCAGAATCAATCAAACACGGCTTCTAAGATGTTTTCCTTTAAAATTTAATGTCCCCATAGGAATTGCATTGCTGAAGCTTAGCAGAGTGACTGAAATCAGGACCTGGCTTAAAAGGCACTTTTCCAGAAATCTATAAAAAAAAGGAGTTCAAAGTTTTAATTGGATGTTTATATATTATGGATTTAAACACCTTACCAACCATACCTACGAAAGTGTCTCTCAACCCTTTGTTTGATTAACTGTTGAATTCAATGTAGTACTTGATGTTATATATGTACTGTTATTTCAAAACTGAAGTTTAAAAATTACAGTTTCTTTCTGTCTCCTTACTTTTCTAATTTTAAAAGTCTTTTCTTTGATAATCAGAGTATATATAATATTCATGATTCTACCTGATTAGGTTAGTAACTTCATATGAAAATCATGGAAAGTTACTGCACTGAATCACAAATACATTTTCCTTCAGACTGACGGGCTGTCACTGCTGTGTTCCAGTATAATTCACTGGGATGACATGAAGGGGGCGTGTCCACACGTGGTGGTGTCCACCCATTTCCACAGCATGGTCCACCAACACCTGCTGCCACTCTCCCCAAACATCAAGTACTTGGTAAGTATGGAGGGAGTGTCCCCAATATCATATACTTTGTGACTATGAGGGGTGTGTCCCCAATATCATATATTTTGTAACTATGAGGGGGGTGTCCCCAATATCAAATACTTTGTAACTATGAGGGGTGTGGCCCCAATATCATATACTTTGTAACTATGAGTGGTGTGTCCCCAATATCAAATACTTTGTAACTATGAGGGGGTGTCCCCAATATCATATACTTTGTAACTATGAGGGGTGTGTCCACAACATTATATACTTTGTAACTATGAGTGGTGTGTCCCCAATATCATATACTTTGTAACTATGAGGGGTGTGTCCCCAATATCATATACTTTGTAACTATGAGGGGTGTGTCTTCAGGATCATATACTTTGTAACTATGAGGGGTGTGTCCACAATATTATATACTTTGTAACTATGAGGGGGGTGTCCCCAATATCATATACTTTGTAACTATGAGGGGTGTGTCCACAATATCAAATACTTTGTAACTATGAGGGGTGTGTCCACAATATCATATACTTTGTAACTATGAGGGGTGTGTCCACAACATCATATACTTTTTAACTATGAGTGGTGTGTCTTCAGGATCATAGACTTTGTAACTATGAGGGGGTTAGACATGTGATGTTGATCCTGCTACAGCCCTTCACTGATAGTTAGACATGTGATGTTGATCCTGCTACAGCCCTTCACTGATAGTTAGACATGTCATGTTGATCCTGCTACAGCCCATCACTGATAGTTAGACATGTCATGTTGATTCTGCTACAGCCCTTCACTGATAGTTAGACATGTCATGTTGATCCTGCTACAGCCCTTCACTGATAGTTAGACATGTGATGTTGATCCTGCTACAGCCCATCACTGATAGTTAGACATGTGATGTTGATCCTGCCCATCACTAATAGTTAGACATGTGATGTTGATCCTGCCCATCACTAATAGTTAGACATGTGATGTTGATCCTGCCCATCACTGATAGTTAGACATGTGATGTTGATCCTGCCCATCACTGATAGTTAGACATGTGATGTTGATCCTGCCCATCACTGATAGTTAGACATGTGATGTTGATCCTGCCCATCACTGATAGTTAGACATGTGATGTTGATCCTGCCCATCACTGATAGTTAGACATGTCATGTTGATCCTGCCCATCACTGATAGTTAGACATGTCATGTTGATCCTGCCCATCACTGATAGTTAGACATGTCATGTTGATCCTGCCCATCACGGATAGTTAGACACGTGATGTTGATCCTGCTACAGCCCATCACTGATAGTTAGACATGTGATGTTGATCCTGCCCATCACTAATAGTTAGACATGTGATGTTGATCCTGCCCATCACTAATAGTTAGACATGTGATGTTGATCCTGCCCATCACTGATAGTTAGACATGTGATGTTGATCCTGCCCATCACTGATAGTTAGACATGTGATGTTGATCCTGCCCATCACTGATAGTTAGACATGTGATGTTGATCCTGCCCATCACTGATAGTTAGACATGTGATGTTGATCCTGCCCATCACTGATAGTTAGACATGTGATGTTGATCCTGCCCATCACTGATAGTTAGACATGTGATGTTGATCCTGCCCATCACTGATAGTTAGACATGTGATGTTGATCCTGCCCATCACTGATAGTTAGACATGTCATGTTGATCCTGCCCATCACTGATAGTTAGACATGTCATGTTGATCCTGCCCATCACTGATAGTTAGACATGTCATGTTGATCCTGCCCATCACGGATAGTTAGACACGTGATGTTGATCCTGCTCCAGCCCATCACTGATAGTTAGACATGTGATGTTGATCCTGCCCATCACTAATAGTTAGACATGTGATGTTGATCCTGCCCATCACTAATAGTTAGACATGTGATGTTGATCCTGCCCATCACTGATAGTTAGACATGTGATGTTGATCCTGCCCATCACTGATAGTTAGACATGTGATGTTGATCCTGCCCATCACTGATAGTTAGACATGTGATGTTGATCCTGCCCATCACTGATAGTTAGACATGTGATGTTGATCCTGCCCATCACTGATAGTTAGACATGTGATGTTGATCCTGCCCATCACTGATAGTTAGACATGTGATGTTGATCCTGCCCATCACTGATAGTTAGACATGTGATGTTGATCCTGCCCATCACTGATAGTTAGACATGTGATGTTGATCCTGCCCATCACTGATAGTTAGACATGTGATGTTGATCCTGCCCATCACTGATAGTTAGACATGTGATGTTGATCCTGCCCATCACTGATAGTTAGACATGTGATGTTGATCCTGCCCATCACTGATAGTTAGACATGTGATGTTGATCCTGCCCATCACTGATAGTTAGACATGTGATGTTGATCCTGCCCATCACTGATAGTTAGACATGTGATGTTGATCCTGCCCATCACTGATAGTTAGACATGTGATGTTGATCCTGCCCATCACTGATAGTTAGACATGTGATGTTGATCCTGCCCATCACTGATAGTTAGACATGTGATGTTGATCCTGCCCATCACTGATAGTTAGACATGTGATGTTGATCCTGCCCATCACTGATAGTTAGACATGTGATGTTGATCCTGCCCATCACTGATAGTTAGACATGTGATGTTGATCCTGCCCATCACTGATAGTTAGACATGTGATGTTGATCCTGCCCATCACTGATAGTTAGACATGTGATGTTGATCCTGCCCATCACTGATAGTTAGACATGTGATGTTGATCCTGCCCATCACTGATAGTTAGACATGTGATGTTGATCCTGCCCATCACTGATAGTTAGACATGTGATGTTGATCCTGCCCATCACTGATAGTTAGACATGTGATGTTGATCCTGCCCATCACTGATAGTTAGACATGTGATGTTGATCCTGCCCATCACTGATAGTTAGACATGTGATGTTGATCCTGCCCATCACTGATAGTTAGACATGTCATGTTGATCCTGCCCATCACTGATAGTTAGACATGTCATGTTGATCCTGCCCATCACTGATAGTTAGACATGTCATGTTGATCCTGCCCATCACGGATAGTTAGACACGTGATGTTGATCCTGCTACTGCCCATCACGGATAGTTAGACATGTGATGTTGATCCTGCTACAGCCCATCACTGATAGTTAGACATGTGATGTTGATCCTGCTACAGCCCATCACTGATAGTTAGACATGTGATGTTGATACTGCTACAGACCATTTGATGTTGATCCTGCCCATAACTGATAGTTAGACATGTCATGTTGATCCTGCTAAAGCCCATCACTGATAGTTATGTGATGTTGATCCTGCCCATCACTGATAGTTAACATGTGATGTTGATCCTGCTACAGCCCATCACTGATAGTTAGACATGTTGATCCTGCCCATCACCATCTTCGCTAGCCAAGTGTTCCCTTTGTATACACTCCACTTACCCTTGGCGGATATAGCCGTGTTTTCATAATTCCATCCACTGCCACTTAGCGGATATACCGAGTTATCATTCTTCTCCCAATAAACTTTTAACCAATCAGAATGACCGTTACATACACTCTCCATTGGCGTTTGACATAAGTACGCGATGTCGAGGCGGAGTATAAATGACAGAGCAATGTGGAAACAATCCAAAGGCAGCACACATATTTTCCCAGGTCATCATTTACATGTGGCATGTAGTCAAAGATTTCCACCAACTGATTTAACACTCCAGAAGTTTCCCAAAATATCTTGCGCCTATTTTTTGGGGGCAAAACACTCTGACATAAACGACAACGTGCTTCCGTACAGGGCGTCACCATTACTGTTTTCCTTCGTCAACAGCGCTATGTAAGACACTATTTCATTGGATGTGAGCGATTGGCACCGCACGAAAATTTGAAGGCTTGGTAAACACGGCTATATCCGCCAAGGGTAAGTGGAGTGTATATGAAGCGAACACTTGACTAGCGAAGATGGCCCATCACTAACAGTTAGACACGTGATGTTGATCCTGCTACAGTCACTGGTTTGATGACCTATCGTATGTTTGTAGACCATGGACACGATACATGACGATGAGGAGTTACTGTTCCTGTACCAACTTAAGGAGGGTCACACCAGCTCGAGCTACGCCAGTTACATTGCCACCAAGTCTGGTCTCCCTGAGGAGATTGTCAAACGAGGGGTAGAGGTAAAGCATCCAGACAATAAAGTATCAGAGGGGGTGTATCATAGTTGATCATTATTATTCTAGAAATTTTGCAAAAAGTCAGATTCCAAAAATTATTCAATATGAATGCCAACTGAAAGCAGTTCAATGCTTAAGTGTTCTGTTAGCATGTATCAAGGAGACACTTGTTAATGTATTCTTATTGCTGTTATTTGTCTCTAACAGCTGTACATTTGAAAAAAAATATTTATTATTTATTTGATACTGGTACATAGTGCCATCAGTATAACTGTTTACGTTGTGATGTTACCTTTCTACAGGTGTGTGAGCTTATCAAAGATAACAAACCTGTACACCGAGTGGACAGTCCAGGGGTCGACGTCCAGTACAAAAGGTCAGCCAAGGTCATTGTTGAACAAATTTAAGATAAATAACTGGTTTTGAAAAAAAGAACTTAAACACATTTCTATTGTGAACTTTAAACATGAAATGCTAAATGCAAGCTTCTGGTAGATTTGTTTGTGATTTTGTGGATTGTGAAAAATTGGATAAAATTTAGTATATTGCGGTGCTCTGTCAGATTTTACCATGATCCTGTCATGATTTGAAAATGCTATCTGTATAGACAGTTTCTTATGCCTTAATAGATGAGTCTGATTACAATATGCAGTCTTTACTCTTGTCAAAATTTACCAAACACTGTACTTGTTTATTATAGAATCTTTATTTTGTACTTCAAAAACTGTGATTAAATAATAGTTGCCTCCCTCTAGCCGTGTTCACTGCTGTACTGACTACCTGACATTAATATTGTTTTATTTACAGATGTGAGGACATTGTTAACAGGTTTCTGGAGCTTGACCTCGACAAAGATGACCTTCAGGCATTTCTCCGAGATTTTGTACTTCCAGCTTCTCAGGGACTCCTCTGACCAGTTATTACATCTATATCAGCTGTAAACTGGCACCTGTTTGTTACGATTTCAGACAGTTTTTGTATTTATATGTTGTTATTACATCTATATCAGCTATAAGCTGGTGGCTAATTATAATGATTTCAGACAGTTTAGTGATTATATACTCTCAGTACATTTGTAACGACTGTAAACTGGTAGCCATTTGGTAGTCAACACTTCATTCCGTAGTTAAAGTATTTATATACATGTAAATGGTAGGTTTGATATAAACGTTACAAGTCGAACCAAAGCTACATATTGAGTTATGAATTATTATGAATTATTATGAATTATGAGTTATTAGGAGTAATTATGAGTAATTATGAAACAATAAACATATGGTGAAGTGTTAATGTGAATTGTTATACCCTCATTAATATGTAGATGATATCCATGAATTTGTTGTTTGACATATCCCAGTAAAATAACTTGTGTATCGTAAAAACTTAACAACAGGTCCAATAAAACATACTTCCATGATATGTATAGCATAGCGTTGTGACAGCTCTGTGCTACATACCATCATACATAGTAAAAAGCTGCAATTAAATCATTTAAAGGTAAAACAATAAAGAACATTTCATTTTATCTTTCTGGATGGTTTGTTTTAGTATACTTATATACATTTTATCTTTCTGGATGGTTTGTTTTAGTATACTTATATACATTTTATCTTTCTGGATGGTTTGTTTTAGTATACTTATATACATTTTATCTTTCTGGATGGTTTGTTTTAGTATACTTATATACATTTTATCTTTCTGGATGGTTTGTTTTAGTATACTTATATACATTTTATCTTTCTGGATGGTTTGTTTTAGTATACTTATATACATTTTATCTTTCTGGATGGTTTGTTTTAGTATACTTATATACATTTTATCTTTCTGGATGGTTTGTTTTAGTATACTTATATACATTTTATCTTTCTGGATGGTTTGTTTTAGTATACTTATATACATTTTATCTTTCTGGATGGTTTGTTTTAGTATACTTATATACATTTTATCTTTCTGGATGGTTTGTTTTAGTATACTTATATACATTTTATCTTTCTGGATGGTTTGTTTTAGTATACTTATATACATTTTATCTTTCTGGATGGTTTGTTTTAGTATACTTATATACATTTTATCTTTCTGGATGGTTTGTTTTAGTATACTTATATACATTTTATCTTTCTGGATGGTTTGTTTTAGTATACTTATATACATTTTATCTTTCTGGATGGTTTGTTTTAGTATACTTATATACATTTTATCTTTCTGGATGGTTTGTTTTAGTATACTTATATACATTTTATCTTTCTGGATGGTTTGTTTTAGTATACTTATATACATTTTATCTTTCTGGATGGTTTGTTTTAGTATACTTATATACATTTTATCTTTCTGGATGGTTTGTTTTAGTATACTTATATACATTTTATCTTTCTGGATGGTTTGTTTTAGTATACTTATATACATTTTATCTTTCTGGATGGTTTGTTTTAGTATACTTATATACATTTTATCTTTCTGGATGGTTTGTTTTAGTATACTTATATACATTTTATCTTTCTGGATGGTTTGTTTTAGTATACTTATATACATTTTATCTTTCTGGATGGTTTGTTTTAGTATACTTATATACATTTTATCTTTCTGGATGGTTTGTTTTAGTATACTTATATACATTTTATCTTTCTGGATGGTTTGTTTTAGTATACTTATATACATTTTATCTTTCTGGATGGTTTGTTTTAGTATACTTATATACATTTTATCTTTCTGGATGGTTTGTTTTAGTATACTTATATACATTTTATCTTTCTGGATGGTTTGTTTTAGTATACTTATATACATTTTATCTTTCTGGATGGTTTGTTTTAGTATACTTATATACATTTTATCTTTCTGGATGGTTTGTTTTAGTATACTTATATACATTTTATCTTTCTGGATGGTTTGTTTTAGTATACTTATATACATTTTATCTTTCTGGATGGTTTGTTTTAGTATACTTATATACATTTTATCTTTCTGGATGGTTTGTTTTAGTATACTTATATACATTTTATCTTTCTGGATGGTTTGTTTTAGTATACTTATATACATTTTATCTTTCTGGATGGTTTGTTTTAGTATACTTATATACATTTTATCTTTCTGGATGGTTTGTTTTAGTATACTTATATACATTTTATCTTTCTGGATGGTTTGTTTTAGTATACTTATATACATTTTATCTTTCTGGATGGTTTGTTTTAGTATACTTATATACATTTTATCTTTCTGGATGGTTTGTTTTAGTATACTTATATACATTTTATCTTTCTGGATGGTTTGTTTTAGTATACTTATATACATTTTATCTTTCTGGATGGTTTGTTTTAGTATACTTATATACATTTTATCTTTCTGGATGGTTTGTTTTAGTATACTTATATACATTTTATCTTTCTGGATGGTTTGTTTTAGTATACTTATATACATTTTATCTTTCTGGATGGTTTGTTTTAGTATACTTATATACATTTTATCTTTCTGGATGGTTTGTTTTAGTATACTTATATACATTTTATCTTTCTGGATGGTTTGTTTTAGTATACTTATATACATTTTATCTTTCTGGATGGTTTGTTTTAGTATACTTATATACATTTTATCTTTCTGGATGGTTTGTTTTAGTATACTTATATACATTTTATCTTTCTGGATGGTTTGTTTTAGTATACTTATATACATTTTATCTTTCTGGATGGTTTGTTTTAGTATACTTATATACATTTTATCTTTCTGGATGGTTTGTTTTAGTATACTTATATACATTTTATCTTTCTGGATGGTTTGTTTTAGTATACTTATATACATTTTATCTTTCTGGATGGTTTGTTTTAGTATACTTATATACATTTTATCTTTCTGGATGGTTTGTTTTAGTATACTTATATACATTTTATCTTTCTGGATGGTTTGTTTTAGTATACTTATATACATTTTGAAAGATCTGTTTTACCAAATGATGGTTTGAACCCTTTCTGTCAGGTATCGGACACCAATTGAAAACATTTGGGAATTTCTGTAAAGATTGGAAAATTTTCAAGTAGTTCTTTCCCTGACATTTCGGCTTTTGTTGCAATTGATATTCCATAATGAAAATTGGAAAACGTTAAGGCACACTTGTGCTAGGAGTTAGCTCCCTTTAAACAGTCATAAGTCACAGTCGTAATTCTTACACGATATTGTAATACCGCTAATGTAAACCACTATTCAAAAATTTGTTTGAACTCTAAAGCAATCAATAGAATTTGTAACTTAAAATTATTGATTGTTAGACAGAATTAAAGTATTTTACATGTGTGGCCCAGCTATGAATCTACAGATACGATAGGAGGGAACAGAGGAGACACGTCATATCAACAATGAACAATACAGGACTAATGTTAATATAGAATATAAAGTAGTACAGTTTTCATGCTATATTTTCACCCTTGAACTCAAAATGAGGCAAACAGCTGTACTGATAACTATTTGTGAGCAGATTCATCACTGAGTGAATTTGTTATAAGAGGCCAAAGGGTGAAAGTGTCTTTGATAGGTTGAAAATATTGGGGTTTACAGTACTCCAACAGTGTTAAGAGGTTTTACACGGCCAAATATTTTGGACAGTCGGCAAAATCATATCCGATTGAAAAAAAGCCGACCAGCGGCCTCTTCTGTTATAGGAATAGGGTTTACAGCAGATTGAGATGGAAATATCTTATTCTGGTGTCTATGATTTGATATAAGTCATAAGCTACTATCGACTTGAATTGTAGGACACGTGTACCAGTGTGATAGCAGCCCTTTACGGTAGCCATGACATAATGTATATTAGTTATACAGTGTACCAGTGAAATATACGGTTTTACATGGAAAATTAAAAAAAATAAAAATTTAGTGATAAATAACATTTTATTTTCTCACTGAAAATACCGTAGCTATCTATATTGATAAAATTAGATGATATTCAAACTCTCATAAATTCTCTTTCGCAGCAATAAATATAAATTGCTCGATTTGTTAAAATGACAAATTTTATATGTTCAGGTTTTCTAACAAAAATCAATTGAACAATGAAAAACGTCTTTATCAATGCATTCGTAGGCACCCCATGAAGATAAATGCTTCAGAAATCCGGGTCTTGATGGATTAAAAAGTCAGCAGTTCGATATTTCGACTAATGATCTTAAAAATGCAGCAATTGGAAATAGTGACTAAAGGGATTTTAATTTGAAACAGCCGAGCTTCCATATATCAATATTTACTTTGTACCGCATTCAGTTTTCAGTTGCACAGCTAGGTTTCGGCTGCGTTATATAACTCGGGATATTGACGTTACATATGTAGCAGTGATTGCACCGCTACTTGTGCATAGACAACAGTTCTTTTCTTTTAAATATTGCCTTTTCATTCATGATTGGACACTTTGCTGCCTGCCTCAATACATCAATTTCTCATTGTCCGATATATATTTATTATTATGAAATAGATTAAAAGATAAAAAAATAAAATAAAAAAATAGTTAGTTACCCTCAATTTGTTGAAACAATTTAAATTGTTTCAGTTAAATTGTGTATGAAATTAAGGTGTTCTGGTATTGAAAGGTTGCTATCAGAACAGCCACTGGATATGGTGCAGTGATGCATTTTCTTCTCCTGGGGCAACTCCATCCCACATAGGCGGCACCCAGTGACCCCGATTCTAAATCTGAAATAGTTCAATTGTCAAATTGCTTTAACAGTTATTCTCACCGTAATTACTGATCCACTGAACGATTATTTTGACCAGACTGACGTATACTACATCTTTGAGGTCAAGAGGGTGAAAGGTCAAATCTCTACAATTATTGTATGGGCCACACATTCTCAATCGCTGAAATTAGTTTGTATTATAAAACCTTGTAGTTTATTGTGATTCGACTAGACACTGTCAGATACTATGCACAGGTAACCAAGTTAAATTCATAACAAGAGGTCAGAGGTCGAATAACTGCAATGCTTAGTGTCCAGACTAATTCTTTAATCAAACCTCTTTTTATGCCGATACTGTAAAATGTTCGAACTAAAGCTACAGAACAGCTTGTATACCACACACAGGTGTAGTGTGTCACATATGTTACCCTCAAATTCAAAACCTCAACAGGAGGTCCCACTTACATATTTATAGGAGTAGTGTGAAGTGAATGAAGAAGTAGAGTCACATCCACAATGGAACAGCTGTGCTACTACTACTTGATGTCTTATTGCTGAGAAATCCTCAGAAATTACATTCTATAGAAATCCTCAGAAATTACATTCTATAGAAATCTTCAGAAATTACATTCTATAGTAAACACTTCAGGGTTATCAAGCTATCCTCATGATGGTCAGTTTCTCATTATACTCGGGAGTGGTATATTGTAGTATAAAGGTTATATCTACCACATTTATTGGAGGTAATGTTACTACAAGTATGATACCTACAGCTACAAGGAACAATCAGTCATGTACAACTATTTGAACTTCTAGCCGACTGATGTAATTGTCCAATAAATCAAGCCTGTATGACACATGTAGAGCCTAGCCTCGTTAATCCAGTCACCACTTACATGTCACCCGATGGTCCCAATGTACAGCCAGTATTTTAGTATACAGATATACTAAATCTAATCACATTTTCTGAAAATTAAGGTTGATCTTGATTATTGCAACTCTCTATATTCAATTGAAGATAAGTTATGAGACAACCAAACCGCTGTGACCCACAAAAGAACAAGACTTTCGAGTGTTCTGCAAAATATTATTTTTTTATTCAGGTGAGACTGACAAAAATAAGTTATACATATTAAGATTGAGTACAGTAATAATCTGAGCTGTACATGTAATGCTGAAAAATAAAAAATATCACATTTATTATCACAAAGATGTTGTCAAAGTATACCTAGGATGAAAACTTATTATATAATTGGTCACATTTTCAACCATGTTAAACAACGTTACTGTTTTGCAACATACTAGCTACCTCATTTAATGTTGTATTTTGCTGAAACTATTTTTTTACACACTCTTTGCTTCAATAAAACCATGGTAATGAGGAAGGTGCAGGGCTTTTGTAAGGTTAAATACGGTACCACAAAAATAGCACTTTCACAAATATTACCACGTGTACAGTATAGGATACAATGCTACTATAAAGTATGTGTAATGCGTAGCACATGTATTTCGCAGATTTAAATTTTGCTTTTAAAGCTCCTGAAAAGAATAACGCAAGTATAAAGCCAAAAAATGTATTGTTCTTTTGATAATCTATTAATGGTGTCTTGTGAAATTTAAACCCTGAAAATTTTGTTCCAGAACATTAATGCCACAATTATACAATACTGTACTTATACTTTGGTTTATCACAAATATCACATGCATGGTTATACAATGGTCTATCACATAAAATGGACGGAAGTAAGTGTAAATATTATTGTCAATTATCTTACAAATATACCTATTATCTGTTGTACATGTATAAATGGTGACAACTGTAGTTCTATATAGAGAACCATAAAATAAACGATTTTATGTTACACAACTGCACTGTGATGTACGAGTACCATCAACCCAGTGGTAACATCAGAAGGTAGACTGTAGGATCACTTTAACAGTTAATACCATTAACAGTAGTGTAAACAATAGGTGTATGATGATCACATAGGTGTTATTTTAGGTACCAACAGTACTAAACATGTAGAACATACAACTTAACAAAGGTAAGTAAAAGTAAGTAAAATGAGACATGACAAACATTTTCAAAATTATTGATCATGGGGGGGGGGGGGGGGGGGAGA